GGTGGGGGTCCTGGGCATGGGTCAAGGGACACAGGACARGAGTGGCACAAGGACAGAGAACATGGCAGAGGGGTGGTGGCCTCAGTCACAGGGACTGGGGACACAGAGTGGAGATTCTGGACATGGGGACAAGGGACACAGCAYAGGGACAGCAGCACAGCAAAGGGGTGGGGGTCCTGAGTGTGGGGACAGGGGACATGGCACAGGGGCAGCATGGGGACAGTGGCACAGCGAACGGACCGAAGTCAGAGGCGCTGGAGAGCAGAGGGGTGGGGTCTGGCATCAGGACAGGGGACACTGGCACAGAACAGGGATCGAGGACAGGGGGCATTGCCACCAGACAGGGACAGAGGAATGTGGCATGGCACGGGGACACAGGGCATGGCACAGGGACAGGGACGCTGGAGCTGGCACGGCATGGGGACAGAGGGCACAGCAGATGGGGACACAGGGTGACAGCACAGGGCAGGGACAGAAGCTGCTGGAATGAGAGAAGGATGGAATCCTGGGGTGCTGGCAGGGCAGGGGACATGGCACAGGGATAGGACAGGGGATATGGCAGAGAGATGGGGATAGGGCACAGGGATGGGGATAGGGGACATGGCACAGGGATGGGACAAGGCACAGGGCACAGGGCATGGGGATGGGACAGGGGACACGGCACAGGGATGGGACAGAAAACACAGCAGAGAAATGGGGACAGGGGACATGGCAGAGAGATAGGGACAAGGGACACAGCACAGGGATGGGACAGGAGACATAGCACAGGGATGGGGACAAGGGACACAGCACAGGGATGGGGCAGGGGACATGGCAGGGACATGAAGACATGGGACATGGCACAGGGATGGGACAGGGGACACGGCAGAGGGATGGGGCAGGGGACATGGTACAGGGATGGGGAGCTCAGGCACCAGCACAGCACTGGGACACAAAGAGGTGTCCCTGCGTGTCCCCCCTCTGCCCCCCAGCTGTGGAGACACCCACCCATCCCCACACTGCTGACAAGCTTTAGGGGGACAAAAGCCACCCGAGGTGGTGACAGCAGCCACCACTGTGTCACCCCACTGTGAACAAGGGACACAAGCAACACTCCCACCCTCTGTACCTCAGTTTCCCTTTTGTCCCGAGCCCCCCGGGGTGCTCCCAGTACTCACCGGCGTAGGGGACAGTTTTCCTGGGCACGGCGCTCCACGAAGCCCCCGGGGYGGTGGCAGCAGCGGTGGCGGCGAGGGCCAGCAGCGAGGCGAGGGCCAGCGGCCGGCCGGGGGCCATGGTTCCGGGGCGGGGGGGACACCGCGGGGTCTCTGGGGGGGGACACGGCCACGCCAGGGTCTCGTTAGGGCCACGGGGCGGCGGCGGCGGCGTCACGCGGGAGGCGCGGGGACAAGGCGGCATTGAGGGAGCGCAGCACCGCGTCACGAGGCCGGGGGCACCCCACGCACGGCCCGGGGGGGTCCCCGAGCCTGCCCCTCCCCGGCCGGGCCGGCCCGGGGGGAGCCCMCGGAGCAGGAAACGGGGCCCGGCCGCTCCCTCCCCACACGTCCTGCCCGGGACCCCCGGTGCCCCGGGGCTGCCCCCGCGGTGCCCCCCCGCCCGGGCCGGGCAGGATGCGGCCGGGAATTGTTCTGCCCTGCCCGGCGGGAAGCAGGAAGTTGGGGGGGCCCGGGGGGGCTTGCGCCAGCTCGGGAAGGATTTCCGGGAGGGTGGGGGGCCGGCAACGGGCGTGGGAATGGGGGACACCCCGGCGGGGCTTCCTGCGGAGACGGGCGGGGAGTCACCGGAGGCACAGCTGGGGTGTCACGGGCACAGCTGGGGTGTCACGGGAAAAACTGGGGTGCCACGGGCACAGCTGGGGTGTCACGGGAAAAACTGGGGTGCTACAGGCACAGCTGGGGTGTCACGGGAAAAACTGGTGTCACAGGCACAGCTGGGGTGCCACGGGCATGGTTGGGGTGTCACAGGCACGGCTGGGGTGCCACGGACACGGTGGGGGTGCCATGAGCACAGCTGGGGTGCCACGGGCACAGCTGGGGTGTCATGAGCACAGTGGGATGTCACAGGCACAGCTGGGGTGCCACGGGCACAAGAGGGGTGTCATGGGCATGGTTGGGGTGTCACGAGCACATGTGGGATGTCACGGGCACAACTGGGGTGCCACGGGCACAGGCAGAGTGAGATGATCCTGACCAGAGTGCCAGGGGCAAAAAGGAGGTGCCATGGGGATCAGTTGGGATCTAACAGGGAATAATGGGGTGCCCTGGGCATGGCTGGGGTGCAACAAGGAAACATGGGACCTGGGCAAAGGTGGGGTGCCCTGGGCATGGCCAAGGTGCAACAGGCAAATCTGGGGTGCCACGGGCACAACCAAGGTGGCATGGGCAAAATTGGGGTGCCACAGGGAGAGTCGGGGTACCATGGGCAGAGCCAAGGTCGCACAGACAAAGATGGGGTGTCATGGGCACAGCCAGGGTGCAACAGGCACAGCTGGAGTGCCCTGGGCACATCTGAGGTGCCACAGGAACGGCCACGGTGCCGCGGGCATGGCCAGGGTTCAACAGGCACAGCTGGGGTGCAACAGGCACAGGGACAAAAGCACAGCGAGAGTGCCACAGGCCACGGCCACGGCCAGGCTGTCCTGGGCGCCGTCGGAGTGCCCAGGGCATGGCCGGGGTGTCACGGGCACAGTTGGGGTGCACCGGGTACTACTGGGGTGCCGCGGGCAGCGCCGGGGTGCCTAAAGCAGGGACAGGCATCACCAGGGTACAACAGGCAGGACGGGTCCCCGCGGTCCCCGAGCTGGGCGCTGGACGCCCGGAGGTGCCACGGGGGGCCTGGGGTGCCACGGGGGCTGGGGGGCCACGGGGGCTGGGGTGCCACGGCCCCGCGGCGCTGCCAGCCCGGGCGGGGGCCCGTCGCGAGCGGGGGTCCCCATGACGGTCCCATCCCGGGGGTCCCCATAACGGTCCCATCCCGGGGATCCCCATGACGGTCCCACCCTGGGGGGGTCCCCACGGCGCTGTCCCCCCACCCCGGGGTCCCCACGGCCGCACGCCCCCGCGGATGGGGGCCCCCGCGCGCCCCCCGCTCCCCTGTTGCCTGTACCGGGGGGGTTTCCCGGTGCACCGGCGGATCCGAGCGGCGGTGGGGGTGGCGGGGTGTCCCCGTTACGGGCGGGGGGATCCCGGCCCCCCCATCCACGGCGGGGGAGCCGGCGGCGATCCCCGGTACCCG